AGCTGCGCTATAATGGTTGTACTCTAAAGTTCCTTATACATTGTGTGAGGTGCTACATAGCACCTCCGAGGTACAGAAGCTGTCGACATAGCGGTAAAAGTATTACGAAAAAGACCAAAAACGATAGCGCTATATGATGTCTCAGTCCTGTATCTCAGCAAGAATACATTTCCAAAGTAATGATTGACTTTGTAGCATCCTGTATGAGATAAGGGTCCAACAAATAGTATGTCAGATATGGATAAAGCTTTTGAGGGCTTGCATAATTATGACTTGAGAAAAGTGTCAGAAGCCCGCTCTGATGAAACTGTTTGAAAAAAGCCATATGACTTTCTTTTGGTAACTGTCTAAATGGAACAAGATTGATAGCCACGATTGGATCTTCTCATATTTCATATCGCATTGAATGCGTCGTATTTCCCAAGATTTTATTTGACCAAGAAAACAGTTGCTCTCAAGTTTGTATTAAAGTATCAAAAGAATTATTGCAAATCGGATTCATATTTTTCTGCATCATTTCCCTCAATGGCTCCTATAATGAAATCGATCAACAGCAATGTCGGATTCATGCAGACATTTAGTTTCATTTGTTATTTCAATAGATTCCAAAATAGTTTTGAATATATCTGCTTACATAACATCGGTCAGCGTACACTATGTATTGTGTTAGACGTTTTGTTGAGGAAAATAAATCAAAAAATGCATGCGATACTTCTTTAATAGTTCCTGTACGACAAAGCTCTTTAAATGAAATGCTCACATTGGAATCTGATGATAAAACAATTGTACCATAAATACAGATTAATAAATCGAGATGTCGCAGGTTTTCTTGTTCGACATGATAATAGTTAAAAATTTTCTTCACTCATCCTTTTCAAGCAGCATTGATCAAGCACAAATTGTCGCTGTCGATGACGTTTGTTTTTGCAACCTTTACACGTATTTTATGAATGATTGTGAAGTATAACAGTGATTGTGCCATACATCGACTGTAGTGGCAGCTACCTTCATTTCACCGTATCACGTTAATTATCGCGTCATACATTTGGGGCTGACAGTAATATTTTTTAAGAACCTTGCCACAGATTGCGGCTCAACAAATCATGATGGAGAAAAGTTTCTGCTAACAAAACTCTTTTTTAGGTGCCAAATCGGGTACTGCGTGTAACAGAAAATTTTGAGAAAAATTAAATTTTAAGATTTTTAATAATTTTGAATTATTAAAGTTGATTTTTCTCAAAATTTTCCCGTTGTAATGAAAAAAGTGTTACACTCAGTACCCCATTTGGCACCTAAGGAAGACTTTTGTCAACGGAAGATTTTCTCCATCGTGCTTCGCTGAGTCGCAGTCAGTGGTTAGGCACTTAAAAAATACTAGTTTTCGGAAAAGTCGATATTTGAAGAAAAAATAAAATTTTTGTTAACCGAACTTCATTCAAAGTTCGCAGTAATTTCAGCATATAGACAGTTCGATCTCTTTGATCGATCGGAGCCAGTTTTATCATTAGAACACGCTTCTTTAATGAACAGTGAACGTTTTAAAAAAAGATCTTAAATTTCTGTAAATTTCTAAAAATTAAAAGAAAATGGGAAGAACATGCCCGGGAGGTTCAAACGTCTCACCATATATGTAAGTCGACATGGGCCACAAAATGATGCAGAAAACCAGGACGTGTTCGCTCCTCCTTAAATGGACTTTCGCTCTGCGAATGTCGTTCTCAGTGGTTACCAGCTGTGGATGCGTTGTCGGAACTAAATTTTGTCTTATTGCTGCTGCTGTGTTATGATATCCTGTTGCTGATTGCCAAGTACGAGTTGCGTCATGCACGAGCCCCATATATGTAGAAGCGAGTAGAGGCTGATGGGGTGAAGAGTTTTTACTCTAATTTTCCATGCTTTTTCATAATTCGTCAAAGTCAAATCATATTCACCTTGCTTTATAGCAACAGCGCCCAGTCCTATGTAACAGTGAGAATCATTCACTGACAGCTCATTTAACAATCGTTTATAATATTTTTCGGCCTTCTCCAATTCACCCATGTCTTTCAACACTCCCATTTCCCACTCACTCCCTATCTTTTTCTTCGTATGGTCAAACACTTGTTTCAACTAGTACATCGAAAAGCCATAGCGGTAACGTTTTCGTAGGTTCGCGAGAGTTCAAAATTACTTCTAGTGTGATACTCTTCGTCGTCGCCCGACCCATAATCGTAACCTGTGAAGAGAGAAAGAACCTAGTTTCTAGTCATTGGCAAAAGCGGAGAACGAGCGTTAAACGATTTTTAACGTTCAGTGCATCAATAAATATCTACCTGTAGCCTGGCGGAGATATATCAGAGATGTCACCAATACAATAGCGAAACATCCACGCGAAGACATACTGAATCTTTATCTATTAGAATGGTACGCAGATTAACCAGATGTGTTTGTGTCAGGTACGTGTCTTTATGCAATATCTCTTGTCTCTCTCTGATTGACCCGTTCTCATCTATTCACCGCCAGTGGCCGACGCCGTGTGGGGTTGGACCGAAGAAGAAGATCCCATCACGATAACCATGGAATGTCTTGCCAGTATCGGCCAAGAGTTCGACAACACGGGAGAAATCACTGGCAGTATTCAGTTGAAAATCTCGAACAAGTAGAGCACCCATGCTTTCGAAGTTGAACACCGCTCGCATTTCTGCTTTAGTATTCACAGTATGTACTTTTGACAGACATCGGTGGAGCTCGGGATGGTAGGTTTCATGTGTTGCAGCCGGCTGATCAGAGCGGCGATATTGGAACAATCAGTAACGAACTCCATCGGCAGTTCGATACGCTGTTGAAAGGCGAGATTCGACGCGACACGCATATTCATGTTCAGCTCTCCGAGCAATGTTTCGAAACATGCCTGTGCCACTGATTCATAGTTCAACAACGGTTGCCTACTGACAGATTGGATCGTGACTTTCATTTCATTGACAATTTCTTGGTACGAACTTTGTTCAATCGGTTGAGTACCGTGGCGAGAATCAATGCCCGAGTTTGGATTATAGTTCGTGTCATTGATTTGTCATCTCACTGATTGACTGTTATTAGTTCGAGTATGAAAATAATATAGCTGAGAAGCTTTGAGAGAAGACTAAAATAGTCACTCACACCCTCAAGATCTATGCATCGATTACAGTCTCGTTCCTTTGCGATACCTTTATAAGAAACACAGTTCACGAATGGTTTGTATCTGATCAAAACGCACTCGTAGACAGATACACCGTAGAGCTTCTAAGTTTTCTTCTCAATGAAATTGACTGAGCCGGAATGATCAATGAGATATGCAATAAAATCACAGATAGCTTCAGTAAATTATTCTTGAGAAATCTAGAATTACCGAACAATTAGTAAATAAATAATCAAAGTTCACGTTAGATTCAGATTCCCAACTTGCGAATATCGCCTGCAAAGTTTTCTAAGAGACAATCAACACTTCCTTGGCCACCCCATCCCAAATAATAATGCATGGCTAATTTTTCAAAACATTAAACGAGAAAGAATTGCCTAGTCAAAGAGAGAAGTAAGTCTTGTCCAATCATTTTCGTCCGAGTCAATAGAGGATAGTCGTCGACAATTGAAATGACATTGCTCTGTGAGTAGATGTACATTTTGAGCTGGTTGAGTATGTAGCTCAATGAAGGCATACAAGGATGTTGGTACTTGGCCGTTGTAACTTATTTTTCTCAGCTTGATCAGTCGTGTACATGAACATTTGAGACTGAGACGAGCAGAAGAGTGTTTTTGAAAGAGATCCTTAATACGTGCGTTTCTTGTGCAATCTGCCACTGATTTACCTTCGAAGTTCGTAGCATCAATATGTGCTCCAGCCGAAATCAAAGTTTCAAAGAACTTTTCAATCGTGCAGTGGCCATCTAAAGAATTTTGCCAGTTGTACTGACACAGATAATGTAATGGAGTGTCTCCACAATTATCAACTGCATTGATCTCAGCTCCACAAGCAATTAAAAGTTTGGTAATTTCAAACTGAATGGGGTGCTTCTTAAAAATTGCATAACTTTCTTCATCGCTGATCCTAATCTCTCGAAGTGCCAGATGTAGAAGCGATTGGTTAACGTTACCGACTGTCGAACGTAAATCATGATGAACTAGTTTGAGCACATGTTGATAAATACGTTGCTGGTCTTTCCTGGGTTTGACAGGTAAAATCTAAGCGAAATAGAAAGGAATAAATCTTTCTTTTCAGTGTGTACAGACTCATTAGTAGAGTCGCACGCTTTTACCTGACAAGCAACATACAGCCAAAAAACTATATTCTTCAGTTCGTAATCGTATCGGTACCATGGTCGACGACGTTCACGTTCCTCTTCATCTTCCCAGTGGTAGTTTCCTGGCCATATTTCTGTTGGTTTATTTTGTTGCACGAGTTCCATAGAAAGAGAGAGTATTTCCAGATAATAATCAACTGAAATTTCTTCTTGATCTTTGAATTCAATCAAACAAAATGCAAGTTGATAGCAATCGACATAGGTATTTGACTTAATAGCCATCCGATACGTATAAATCCACACTTGAAAACATTGTTCAAGTTGTTTTCCTGTAAAATATAAACTAGCAAGAGCGTAGAGTGCACCGAGATACTTGGACCCAACATCCCGTTCTCTCCGTTCCGCTAGCATCAGACCTTCGATCATTAGGAAAATGATATCATTTTCTAATAGTTTTAAATCTTCAACAGATTGACATTCAGTGCGATACTGGCAAGCTGCAATCGGTAAAGATAATCGATTTTCTTTAAGTAGCGGTTTTTCTAAGTTCTCACTATAACGTAGTTTCATGGAGGATAGAAGATAGCCATAAAATTTGTGAAGAACATCGTTATTGATATGGTTATTATATGTGCAGTTAGGTAGATATGAGAGGGCAAGTGACTCAAGCGCTTCGATACGTTGCAATAGAGTGAGATACTTTGATGTTTCATCGAGTAGAAAATAGTTAACGATATGACATTGGTGTCTGTGAGAAGCGACTATCAGCGGTGCCATGAACCATGACTCACTGTTTATTAACATAAATGCACCATTATCTAATAGCAGCTTCATGATTTCCAGATATCCTTTTTCTGCTGCATAAAACAGTGCTGTTACTCCGATCGGATCTACTGTATTGACGAAGGAAGATAAATACTTGCTCTCCTTTTGTACATATAACAGATACTGAACAACATCATAATGTCCTTCCTCAGCAGCAGCCATTAAGCACGTCATTTTTTGTCTTGTTCCCTTGCTGTTAACAGCGTTTATATCACTTCCATTTTTTAATAAATATTTAACAATGTCTAAATAACCATTGTCACATGCTTCAAAAAGAGGCGTGAAATGTGGGTGTTGGGCATAGTAATTCACATCTGCATGACCAATAGAAACAAGTGTACGGATAACGTCGAAATGATTAGCTTTGACAGCAATCCAAAGCGCTGTAACATTAGCGTTAAACGAGTAAGGATCCAAAGGAACATACTGTACAACTTGGTCAACAGCACAATGGTATTTTTTACGTAGTAAAAGTTTGACAATATTATTATGCCCATATCTTGAAGCAATCATCAATGGAGTTGTTAAATATCGCTGTTCAACACGCGAATCCATTGGTTTCAGAAGCCGATTAACCAGTGACGTCTTAGCTGAATGTAATATACTTTTTAATTTAGCTAATAAACCATTCCTACAAGCATCGTAAATTGCTTCTTCTCTACTACTATTGTCAGTGGCGCTTTTATTCATCGTATTATCGTTCAGAAGAGACTGATGAGAAAAATGTAATTCTGGATTCAAATATCAGTAAGAGAATAGTGCTGCTTATATATGATTGGCATTATTGTAAAACATAGTGGTCTTTTCTATCAGAAAGGAGAATTATTACTCAACTCAATGTAAGGTAATGACGCACTATACGTACAGATGAAAGTGTTCTAAGTGAGAACAAACATTATCGTTTTCATTGACAAGTTACTCAAGATGCTGCGAAATATTTATTGTCATACTATTTCCCTATTGAGTAAAAAAAAACTACCATCATTGATGATGAAGGAAAACATGATTTTCTTTTCTCTATGCTTCCATCAGATGTGATACTTTACAAGTTCATGCTCCAAGAACATATTCTCTATCCTCTGATATATTTTATCTGGAGAATAGTTCCAACTGATATGAGTATGAACTCTTGCTTTTTAGCCCATATCTGTTGTGCGTTAGGTGAGGATGTTCTCTTTCTTCACAAACACACCCTTATCCTCACCCCGTCGATGAAATATCGTTGTCAAGAAAATGATACTATTGAGACTCTAGGGAATGGACTTTTTATCGATCCTTGGCCAAAGCGAAATCTCATATGAACGACATCACCATGCTTGTACACGTATACAATGTACATACTCATTTGGAAGACAGTTAGACATTTCTCCGTATTTATAGTGGTCTTTCGTCTTGAACAAGCAACGTCCGATTAGCCCAAGTGAGTGTTGGTGTAGACTTCTATGGTAGTTATCTATCGTAGATTTTCATTGCAGGATGAATGACAAAAGCTACACTTTGTACGATGCGATCTATTCATCTACGAATTTGCACAAGAATTTCTTTTTTTTGTCGAAGGACGAACACTGTCTCTATATGTACTTCTGCAATACCTATGCTGAGTATTGAAATCGAGACAAATGAAGAGAATGATTGCACAACCTGTAGCTTGGTGCAAGTCGAATACAGAATGAATGATACCGGAGAAAGACGAGCCGTGATCGATGACCAAACACAACTCAATGTTATGAGATTGAAGCATCACATTTAGTCCCTCGGGACTACAGTCATTGATCAATTCGACACTCGTCTGTTTTTTTTTAATTTTTCTCTTCTGCTGAAAATGCCTGAATATTTTTTACTTATTCAAGAATCAGTTCTCTTGACAGAAGCGCTCACAACTATCTTTTTTTATTGCTATACTGATAGTTTTTTCTTCGAACTCACCTCCAACTGTTAAATTTCAATTCTCAGATCAATTGGAGGGAGTGAGGATGACCTTAGGCAGAGACATGACGTCATCAGGCCATTCAGTATCTTTCCTTCTGTCGATGTCACGTAGTGCATGTCCACTGTTTCTCTCTATGTCCTTTCTCTGTTCACTCTCTCTTCGCACTCTCTGACGCTTTCTCTGTGTTGGTCACTCTATAAAGCGGGAGCGCTCGCTGTGAATAAACGGACAACCATAGCCTCAGATAACGCGTCGAGGTTTCACATCTCCTCACAAAACGTTCATAGCTGTAATCGAGAATGGCATTGTCTACTTGTAAACGACGAGCTAAATTGTCGTACAACTACCAATAGAGGTGGATGAAACGAATGGCAATCCCGACACTGACGCTGTTCGACGGTGAGCTCTTGACGAGGAACATTGGCCAATAGCAAGTGATCAAGATTGATCTGCACGAATCGATCGACGATGGGATTGGATACGATCAGTGGTGGTTTCGGGGATATCACCCCATAAATTTTCCAGAGAAGCTGATCTAGAATAGAAAGAAGAGTGAGAAGATCATGCAGAAAAGCAACTTTTGATTCAATAAAGTTCATTTCAAAGATAAAAGAGATTAGTGTTGTTGAGGATTGTGAAGGATGACATTGCGGCATCATTCGCTCCGATCGACCATCCGCTCGTCTGTTGTTGCTGCATTGTCGTTCTGTTCTTCGGTTCTACGTACAAACTGAAGCTATATTTCAAGTGATTTCATCCATACCCAAGCGATCATCAAGTGACATTTATCCAACTGCATTGCCTTCCTATCATCAAAAAAAAACAAAGACAGACTTTCGACTGAACTCAATGCTACTGATAACTTATCGCATGCCAAACATCAAAAGACAACCAAAACAAGCAATGGAATTGACAATCACCATCGATATTGACACAAACCTTTCCTTCCTTCAATCCCAACCATTTTGTTCTTGACCAGTCCCTTTCTTTTCTTGCTCTTTCTCTGCACTCGAACGTTGACTCTGGTCTTTGTTGATTCGTCGTGGTTTAAAATCGAAGAATTCCTCCACAAAACGGTAATCTCTTTGGAAAAATTGCTGTTGTTAGAAAGATACTTCTGCGATCTTTCCGGAACAGCAAGCGCTTTCGATTTCGCTAATGAGTGAGAACTCGGTGCACTGTCAATTACAATTAATTCACGCGCCTTGTTCGAGTTACAGCAGGAGATATGTCTCTGAATGTGAGCCTGCCTTCAGTTTGCAGTCGAGATGAATGGTTTCTGATTGCAAGACTGATGGTTTCTTGGCGGATCGGAGTGATGGACACTGTACTGAATACCAATAAGTTGAAATGAATGATTCGAGTAGCTCAACCACCAGAATCATAGTTGGATCGGATACAGAGAGAAATTCGACAAGAACAGGACAGTGATAACAAATAAAATCTAGTGGGTAAATCTAGTAGTGCTTCATAGATAGACTAAGATCGTTAGCTGCGCTATAATGGTTGTACTCTAAAGTTCCTTATACATTGTGTGAGGTGCTACATAGCACCTCCGAGGTACAGAAGCTGTCGACATAGCGGTAAAAGTATTACGAAAAAGACCAAAAACGATAG